CTCTGCGCCGTTTCTAGGTCATCCTTCATGACGCTTAGGGAGTTGAGCGCTTCAGCTTCTCCAAGGCGCAGCGCCTCGTTGGCCATAGCGCCGTTCTTGGCAAGGAACATCATCTAACAAAGTAAAAATATAGCAAGTCAATAAGAAATATATATGTGTAGTGCATACGAAAAGAAGGCACGTTCAACCTACCTGGGCGCCCATTCGTGCGACCTCTCCCCATAAATTCCGGCCATCAACACCGCTGGGCGCCCTCAGCACCTCGGTCGCATGAAAGGCAAAACCAAGCGCGGAGCCTCTCTCCAAAGCAGATCTGTCTGAGCATTCGATGTTGACCCTATGCCTTGGAGGTTGTAGCCATTTTTCAACAAAGGTTGGGACCCGCTCCTCTGCGCTGGTGCGTGGTTTCTTGATGGGCGCTGAGGATTCCCCCCCGCCTGTGTCCTCTTCAGTTTATCCCCAAGAGGGACTTCGTCGATATCCAACTCGGGATCAGAGGGTATGATGGCTGTATGCGCCTCCGCGTCCGGTTGCACATCGGTGGGCGCCACCGCCTCCCCCCTTTCAACTACTTGAGGGGCGCTTGGCACCCTTTTTGGTTGTATGCGCCGAGGGCTTGTGCGCTTCTTTCCCGGCTTGGCACCAGCAGGCGCATCAGCCTTAACTCCGGAAGAGGAGGACTTGCTCTTCCCTTTCTTCGATCCGCCCTTCTTTGAACGCGTGGCCCCTTTACCACCGAAGTCAGGCGCCTTATAGTCCAGACCCATGCACTCAAGTTGGGTCTTCATGAAAGAGGCAATGGTGGTGAAGTCCACACCTGCAACAAAACGCAAATGGGTAAGTAAAGGCGTGATGACTGTTATGCGTGAGTAAAGCAACATAAACACATTCACACTTTGTAATGACATGCATGCGCCACCAGGCGCCTACCTACCATCGGCGTAGTACTCGTGTAAGACAGGAGTCCTAGCAGCTGTGGAACTAAGGTTCACCGGGCGTATAGACAATAGGCGCGCATGCTCCTTCTCCGTATCAGATAACTCTACCTCAACATTGAAGCGGGCGGTGCTACCCATTGTCCAATCCCGTACGAAGCGCTTGCCGCTCTCGTAAAATGACTCTGCTCGGGGCTTGATAAAAAAATAACCCCTATACCACTTCTTCCCCAACTTGGGGCAATCCTCTACAAAATGACCCGAAATGTCTATGCGCCTGTAGAGACAGGCAATTGTCACTACTGGTCATGGTGAAGAAATACCGGAAGAGCTTAAACGTCGGGGCAATGTTGTGCTGCCGACACTTAAGCTTGAACAGGACGTGAATCAAAAAGACAGAAGGAGATAGGCGCCCAATAGAACAGGCGCATGTGGTGAGGATTCCTTCCAAAATGGAATCTAAAGGGAAGCGTAGCCCGAATTTGAAGTACTCCCTATATATGCCGAGCCACCGTGGCCCAACTGCTCCTACCCTGGCAATCGGAGATGCAGGCGCATAAGACCAAGTGCGAGGCAGACTGCAGGAGGTAATCAATCGGTGCATTTCTGCTATCTTGATAGTGGGAGTGTGTTTTGGCCCGGCACGTCTCACAGACAATTTACGGGTGCTAATGGGCGCCTCCCCTTGTGGCCATGTATCTGCCCAAGCGACTATCTTGAACGACCCATCTTCGGGGGCGCCTGAATCAATGGAGGGCGGAGAAATGGGCGCATCGTTCGACTCTGATGAGGTAGGCGCGGAGCCTAAAAGTGAATTGTGCGCCTTTCGTCAATACTAGGGACCCAATACCTCTCAGGGCGCCTAGCAAAGGTTCAAAATAAATGGGAAATTTAAAAAGCAGAAGAGAGGGGGGCATTACCCTGATTGGTCGAATCAGGCGCCCGTGTGGTGTCGATGGATGCAGCCGAAGCCGTTGTTGTAGTGTTCGCCTCCTCGCTGAGGGGGGTCGGAGAAGGGATAGGCGTTGGCTTCTTAGGCGCCTCCGTGTTGAGAGGTGCAGGAGAAGGGATGGAAGTTGACTTCTTAGGCGCCTCCTTATGGGATCGAGGCGCCCGCTGGTCTTGATTTCGAAGCGGGTCCGGCGACAGGTGCTGCTCGAGCACGTCGAGCACGCTGGGCGCTGCGTTCCCACCCTTTTCCGCGGAAGTAGTAGTGCCACTAGACATGGTTGACAGGGTCGAATCGAGCGCACAGATAAGAGAGAGGAGGGCGCGTGGGCTAGAGAGAAGGCAGAGCAATCAGAGAAAGAAAGAGCTAGAGAGAGAAGCAGAGTTGGGGCGAATGAGGTAGAATGGAGAGGAGAGTGAATATTTATAAGAGGAAGGGAGGAGGTGAAGAGTCACCTCGGAAACCGCACGCTGAACGGTCCAATCCTCGCCCTCCGTTCAAAATTTGAATTTTGAAATTCAAAATTTGAACGCACACCGAGTGGGGGGCAGGAGGTACGGTCATGCGCACGGTCATGCGCCTGGTAAGAGCAAGGTCGAGGCGGGATGCGCCTGGTAGGATCAAGGTCGAGGGGTCATGCGCCTTCTAAAAGCAGGGTCGAGTCAGGATGCGCCTGGTAGGATCAAGGTCAGGGGGTCATGCGCCTTCTAAAAAGCAGGGTCGAAGCAGGATGTGCCTGGTAGGATCAAGGTCGAGGGGTCATACGCCTTGTAAGAGCAAGGTCGAGGCAGGCGTGAGGGGCTTGAGGGTCGATTAAATAAAAGAATAAAAATTTGTCCCAGCTAGGAGAGGGGGGCAAGGTGGCCCTGGGCGCCCCTTCTATCATTTAGAAGCGCACGGTATTTTATCGTCACGCCTGCTGTGAAGCCTCATGTTGGCCAGGTTATAGTTAGGCGCTCACCAGTGAACACCTAACTGGGGGGGCAATTGTTGGGGTAATAAGGATAAGCCTACGAAAGTAAAGAGCCCGTTGGGCCGGAGGCCCACTGAGAACCTATCTGGGGCATAACCCATGGTTAGGATAATGGAAACAAGCCCATGAAAGTTAGGAGCCTATTGGGCATCAAGCCCATTTAGGGCCTATGGGAGTGTGGCCTAGGTGACTATAAAGGAGTAGGGGCGCATGACGACAAAATAGGCTCGCAGACAAGGAAGTACAGGTGGACAAGGTCGGAAGGGCGCCACGAGGCCAGTGGTCCCCTTATGCGCCCCGACGTGGAAAACGGACAGTGTGCCACGTGTAGGCGCGTAGGCGCCAGGGGAGACCGGGCATTTAATGCTAGGCTGACGTAAGGCTTGGTGGCAGGAGTTGGTCGGAGCTTGGTCGAGGAGCTCGAGTAGTATAAATAGCACTTGGTAGGTAGCATTTAAGCAGGTCGGTCTTTCTCACACTAAACTTCTTTCTTCACTTCTCTCTCTAGAGTTGCTCCTGACTTGATCGTCGGAGTGCTAACGGACGGGTTTAGCCCTCTAGGCGCCCGTCCTGCAGGGTCCAAGCGCTTGGCGTGGGATCGCGGTGGAGGCACGTGAGAGAGAGAGAGTATCGTGGCTTCAACAATTATCTATAAAAATGTTGTTGAATATACTTAGCGTTAGCGATTAGCTGAAATTTGACTCAATGACTTATTTGTGCATACAAATTTGGGACAATAAAGATAACTATCTTAGTCTAATTCAACAAAAAAAAAAAAAAGAGAAAAGATGTAACACTACTAGCTGTGGTAAGAGCGTGTTGACACAAATATGTAAATTTATCTTTTGATTACACATTAATCACGTAATAATCACAACGTAATAAGTGACTGGTGACTGCATTGATTTAGCTGACTTATTAATTCTTAAATTACGCGTAAAATAATCTTACCTATAAAAATAGTTGATAAACTTTAGGTGGAGGAAAAAAAAAAGATTAATGTTGTGTCAATTTCTATTGATTGCTCAGAAATATCATTTGGAAAAATGATACACGAGGGTGGACAAAGGCGCATCACTTGGCAGTGACGCCCACAGAAACATGGATGGATTGGGGAGCCAGAATTTCTCTCTTTTCTCCCACGGAAATGCCTATGCCTATCCGAAACGTTGCAGAGAACAAGTGAACAAAGTCTGTTATTTGGGCCAAATACAAACAAATCATTCTTCCGAACAGAACAAAAACAAAAGGGGGACAAAGCAATATATTATTGTTAATTAAACCGGTCCGAAATTAAGATAAAACCTATAAAATCCACGCTTTACCATTTGTTATATGAATCATACCTTCACCTTGTCGATCGTAGATATGATTGATATAAGGGATGATAAGTTACAGAGTTTTGAAGGTTTAGTAGTTCTGATTTTGTACCCTATTATTTTCCTTAATAATACAATCTTTTGATTTACCTATGAAAAGATGTTGCTTCTATTAATCCCCTTTGTTTATCCTGCCCTAAAAATGTTTGGATCAAGAAAATGATATCCATATATTAAATAAACTGGAGTTTGAAACATTGTATTATATTTTAATTCTAATGAATAAGACCTAAAATCAATTTTATTGGCACCAACAATCCTATAGTTAATGTCAATTTAATTAGAAGCAATAATCGATTATTCTGCCTCGTCGAAATACATCTTTATACAAGATACACCATTTTATGATTTAGAGAATTAGGACATAACATTTTTGCATTAAGGGCTACGAAATAATAAAATACTCCAAAATCCAATTAATTCAAGGCTAAAGTATTTTCTTACTAAACTTATATATATGGGTCAGACTGTTGTAGTCCTAGAGTTTACAGTACTTCGAATACTCATAATAAAATATCTCTAACTAACGCATAAGGTAAACTGAGTTTAGTATAATATGCCCTATGTGCCAATTCTCTAAACGAAGATCAATTCAATAATAATAATAGACGATTATGATTTGTCAAAGTACAACGAAGTAAATTGATGGTCAATCACTTGGAATACTATATACTCCAAAAGTATGATATAATTCAAATACTGAATGTCTTAAACATCATATGCGGTAAGATATATAATTTAACAATCCAATAAATTATCAACAAGTCGATAGCCGAGTTGGCTCGATAACCACAATTTTTAGACATGTCATGAGAGTTAGCTCACAAGTTGAACTACACAAACCATCGAATCGAGCTGACTCGTGAACTTAGCGAATTAGCTTCATACCTTGAACACATTACAATACAGTACAGGCTAACACATCCATTGCGTGGGAACTTATGAAACTGAGCAAATCAAACTCGAGAGCTTGACATTTCTCCCAATCCCACAACTGCCACATTCACTAGAAATCCCCATAAAAGACAACGAAGAAACCAAAGCACAGAGCACTATGCATAGCATGAAGGACGACAAACAAACCAAATTGCATCTTTTATATCGTTCTCACATCAACAAACAATAGTGATGTATGCAAAAGCTATTGGCTTGGGTACTTTTAAGGAAAGAATTCAGCCGATGATCGTTACATGCATCGGCTTCAACGCTCTGAAATCCGACTTACAAGTATTAGAAGACAAGGAGGTAGTTTGGCCTCACACAGTGCAGGGTTGGAATACTAGAAGAAAACTTATCTTGGGTAGTTCACTGGGGGTTCCAAGCTACTTACCAAAATGCCAAGGTCGATGTCTTTGTCTTGGAACTTCTCGATGAAAGGGTGGTTCTGGGGAGAAGAAATAAGGTTAAATCATAAGTTACAAAATCAGGGTCCGAGGTTTCTTAAGCTGCTGTCGGGAGACATGAGACTTAAAACAAATGATGTTGTAAGACTCACCAAGAGGTCCGATGACGATGATCTGTCTCGAGGGTCCTTTTGTATGCTGTAGAAATCACAGACAATAGTCAGCAAGAATCCAAAGTAGTAGTAAACGAATTATTTGTCTTGTCTTGTTTCCTTTTGTCTCAACTTGGTAAGAGAGTATGGAATCCATAAGGTGTGGAGTTAAGAAAACCCTTACCAAGCTGATACGAATGAACAGAATTCAGGAGAGAATTGGTCTGGGGGAGCAGTGGGTGGAGGGCTATCTACAATGGCTTCCAGGAGCTCGTAAAAGCTCGGCCGCTCCTCTTCATCTTCTGATCGCATATAGGGAAAACGTCCTATAGCACACTCAAGAACCACCAAGCCCAAGCTCCAAATGTCACTGCTGTAATCATAGGTGCTGCCACTAATTCTCTCTGGCTGCACAATTGGGTGTTGAAAAAAGATGTTGCTTCTGAATCAGAGGCTTCTTCTTTCTTAAGGAATCTATTAAACAACTATAGTGGCTAACCCAGTAGCATGAACATACCGACATGTAGTTGTAAGTTCCAACAAAGGTATCCCGCTGACCCATAGAGTTGGCCAACATAGCACTCACACCAAAATCAGTGATCTTTACTTCCCCCTTGTGGTTTACTAGTAGGTTCGATGGTTTAATGTCTCTATGTATAATATGTCTTTCATTGTGGAGATACACAAGACCCTGTAAAACCTGCATTTATAGGGAGATTATCAGCTTAACAAAGTCAATTATAAGAAGTTGTAACCCTGATGTTGAACAAAGAGAAAATGTACCTGTTTACAAACAACTGCCAGATAAGGTTCAAGAATTGTTTTAACTTGTCTGATAACATCTGCAAGAGACCCGCGGTCCATGTACTCTAACACAAGAGAGATAGCCCCATTGTGATAGAATGAGTGGTAGCAAATGACGACATGAGGACACTGGGAGGCTTGGTTTATTTTCAGCTCCTGTACAATCTGTTTACGAATTTCCTCTTGTATGTTCATTTGTATAACCTGTAAGCACATCATTATTGCATCAGAATTCTTTGCTGCTACTACTACTACCACTAACTTATGAACATTCCAACAAGGAAAGAAGGGCACCCAATCATTTGAAGTTAATAGGTAGACAAAATTAGCTAAATCACCCAACAGAGAAAGTTCAGCAGTGACCTTCAAGGCAAACAAAGTCCCAACCCATTTATGGCGAACGAGTTGCACAACCCCTCCGCTTCCCTTCCCAATCACTTTGATCGCTTCTAGATCTTCCTTTGAGAACTCAAAGTCAAGCTCCTTGCTCTCTGATGACTGTCAAGAATAAGAGTTTAGGCAAGTCAATAAACAGTGAACGTATGCAGACGCAAAGACAGCAACTACTATAAGCCATTGCTGAGACAATGGAGGTAATCTGAGACAGCAACTAACACTTCTGATTGCAGGATCAAAACTGCCAATCAAACTCCTTGGATGAAGAAGAACACACAAAATTCAAAAATCACACACTGAGACAGACATATCGACTTGAAAAATCACTCTGATTTGTCACTCGGCCCAATCCTTGTACATCAATGCAATTGAGCAATCGAACCAAGATCACAACGAAGTTCCAGTTACCTGCGATTCCTTCTCTTCCGAGATGAGCCGCAAGCCTTTCTGATTCAACCGCAAGTCTCCGTCGTGAAATGTTCCACTCGCTGTGCTGATACAGTTCAAGTCACGCCATCAACACTCAAAATCAATTACTATAATCAATACTCAGGAGGCCAAACCACAGTTCTAAGTTCCTCAAGCAATTTGGAGTAAACAGAACGAGGAATCGCGCGCGGAACTTACAGGAAAGACGAGATTGGAGTTTCCTGAACGGGAACGGAGAGCTTCAGCTCCTGCAATGGCTTCTTGATTTTCATGATCTTTCGCTTTCTTCCGCTGCACACAGCCTTCGTTTTCTAGGGTCTCTTACTCTCTTACAGAGAGAGAGAGAGGGATTAGTGTGCGAGAGAGAGAGAGAGACTCTTTATCGTTTTGCGGAAAAGGACGGGAGCGAAGAACAACCCAGAGTTCGGCGTTACGTTTAAAAAATTATATATTTCTAACGTAATTTTTTTTCAAAGCAGAAAGACCGCGCATTCAATTTTCAAAATATAATTATTATTTTAAGCTTTCCTGTCTGCTACGCCAAAATTACACGTGGCTGTTTGATTTCAACTTCTGTCGGGCTTCAGATCTGGGCTTATAGCCAGGCCTGCCCAGAAGACTATCACTTTCTGGACTGGGACGTTATGGGCCCATATCCGATTGTTTGCTTTATCTGCCCATTTTCTGTGGGCCTTTGCATTGATTTGATCGGGCCGGGTAAAAGTGGTATAGGGGGGAGTAACAGAAAGAAACAGACATCCCAATTCTCGGAATTGAGGCATATTATTTCTCTTAAACATTATTTAATAAAAAAATTGAAATTTCATATTTTATTTATTGGGAAAAAACAAATTTTTAATCGGGAAAAAGGAAGAAAGAAGTTTGAGAAATCTGGTCCGACCCCTGTTCTCTGTCTCTCTGACATAAATAAGCCCACCACACCATTACCACACTCTACTCTCTGCTCCCTCCCACTCTCATTACTCTCTGCTGCCTGCTTCCTTCTCCCTCCTTCTCTCGAGCTCCGAGAGAGAGAGAGAGAGCCCTTTTCGCATATACCAATATAGCAAGAAAGAAAGAGAAAGAGGGAAATAGAGACGTTGGTCTGTGTCTCCTCCTCCACCGTACGATTCGCTTTGGAAACCATAATAAGGAGCTCGAGAGTGAGTGAATTGCTACTTGCTGGGGCGCTTCAACAGAGATAGAGAAGAAGAAACACAGAGCAAGCAGCAGATACAGAGAGGGAGTGAAGAAAGAAGAAGCAGTAATGGCGAGTAAGGGAGGAGGAGGAGAAGAAGAAGGATACAAGCTAGTTTTCGCTGTTTCTCTGTTGCTGTTTTCGCTTCCGGGTAAATGCCCTCTATCTCTTACTCTTTCCAATGTCGGTGGCAGGAATATGTTCTCCCCCAAATCGATTTCTTTGCTTGCAAGCACCCATTTTTGTTCTGTTTATACCTATGCCTTTCCCTTTAGTTTTCCAAACCCAGGTCCCGTATTTTGACGAGAATATAATTTGATGGCCCTGGTCATCCCTGTATTTTCTACCTTGCAAATCCATGGATGTCTGTGATTGTGGAATACTCGAGACTTTCCGTTTTTCTCTTTTCGTTTGGTGGGTTTGTGGACAGCTGGGTTGCAGTATTAAGAAATGTGGTCTAGATTTTTGTTTTCTACTTGTGATTATTCTATTTGACCACTGCTTTGACAGCCTAATACTGCCCCCATTACACTGACTTGAGCCCACCTCTGATTTTGTCCCAACTCTTGAAATGCTGGCTGTTAGATGATATACTAATCACTTCCAAAAGCATGGTTGTCACCATGTGATAATTTGGTTCAGTGTTGCTCTGGTTAAATAGGTTGGTAAAAAGTTATTACTCTGTATCTTCAATGCATTTGAGTCATGTAATTGCTCTACTAAGGAAAGTTAAGACTCATCCAGCTGGGAAACCCCTTTATTCCACATTGAAATCAGCACTCTGGAAGTTAAAGACTCATCCAAGTCCTCCATTTGCAGTTCTGTGTAGAGGAAGCATAGTGGGAGTTTGTTACGGAAGAAATGCCGACGATCTTCCAACGCCTGATAAAGCCGTGGACCTCATTCAGCAGCATAACATCAAGTACGCAAGGATATACGATGCGAACATCCAAGTTCTCAAGGCATTCGCCAACACTGGGATCGAGCTCATGATCGGGATATCAAACTCTGACTTGCTCCCTTTCTCCCAGTTCCAATCCAATGCCGACACGTGGCTCAAGAACAACATTCTCCCGTACTACCCCGCCACAAAGATCACATACATCACAGTTGGTGCAGAAGTCACTGAAGCACCGAGCAATGAATCAGCTCTGGTTGTACCCGCGATGCACAACATCCTCACGTCGCTTAAAAAGCTCGGCTTGCACAAGAAGATTAAGGTTTCAACCACGCATTCCCTCGGCGTCTTGTCTCGTTCTTTCCCACCTTCAGCTGGTGCCTTCAGCAGCAAGCATGCGTTCTTCCTTAAACCTTTACTGGAGTTCCTTGCCGATAACCAATCCCCTTTCATGATTGACATCTACCCTTACTATGCATTCAGAGATTCACCAAACAACGTGTCCTTGGATTATGCCTTGTTCCAGTCCTCCTCTGAAGTTATTGACCCGAACACTGGCTTGCTCTATACCAACATGTTCGATGCCCAAATAGATGCTCTCTATTTCGCATTGATGGCCCTCAACTTCAGAACAATCAAGGTTATGGTGACTGAGACAGGGTGGCCATCGAAAGGGTCGCCTAAGGAGACCGCTGCAACTCCTGATAATGCCCAAATCTACAATGCCAACTTGATCCGACACGTGGTCAATGACACAGGGACTCCTGCCAAGCCAGGGGAGGCTGTGGATACATACATCTTCTCGCTGTTCAACGAGAACAGGAAGCCTGGGTTGGAGTCGGAGAGAAACTGGGGTCTGTTTTATCCTGATCAGACGAGTGTTTACAATCTGGATTTTAGTGGGAGAGGTGCTGTGGCAGGCATGCCATCGCCTAGCACGAATGGGAGTGCCAGTGGTTTCAATGGGGCTACTAAGACTTGGTGCATTGCTTCCAGTAACGCAACACAGCTTGATTTGCAGAATGCAGTTGACTGGGCGTGTGGTACTGGGAACGTGGATTGCTCCCCTATTCAGCCGAGTCAGCCTTGTTTCCAGCCGGATAATCTGGCTTCTCATGCCTCTTATGCTTTCAATGTTTACTACCAGCAGAATGGAGCTACTGATATCGCTTGCACTTTTGGTGGCACCGGAATTAGAGTTGACAAGGATCCAAGTAATGCTACTCTCTCTAAATGTCAAAAACTTTACTTTTCACAATCTGTGTTTGGCTTTTGAATGCTGTGTATTTTCTAAACAATAGACTGGTCTACTTTGTTTTGCAGGCTATGATAACTGCTTGTATATGACAGCGGGGTAAGTTACTTGCAGCGAAACAAACTCCTGTGTCCTGTCCTTATTCTGGTGAATCTAGTTCTAGTCTAACACATGCTGCGGTTTTTGTTCTCGACATCAGGAGCAACAAAACTGGAGCTGGTAACACAACAGCTATGACATCATCATCCTCTAAAACATCGTCGTCGTCACCGAGTCTGTCTAGGAAGTGGGCCTACAGCTTGATTATTGCAATTCTTCTTCGGCTTCTGTGTTGAAGGTAAATGTAAGCATAGATAGAAGGCGTCTGTGCAAGTGAAGGAAGAGATTCTTTGTTTTTGTAACCAGTAGGGGGCTGGTTTGTAGGACCATGGAAGGAAAAAGACCTCTAGCCTGTAAAGCTCTTGTGGTTCGACGGCCCCAATGGTGTTGTATGATATAATGATCTTGATGTATCGATGTTAGTTTTAGGAGAGAGCATGGTATGCAAAGACGAATCCATCTCTTGTATTTTCGTTCTAGTCTTGATCTATTCAAAAGAAATTGTTCAAGCGTTTCTCGCGGATTCAATTGCGGCATAATGTGCAGAAAATCTGAACACTAATGCTATTGGCTAAATGATCATCGGATTAGACCAAAATCAGATCAATCGTTAGGCGAAGTTGATAATTTTGCAACAATGTTCCCAGTTTGCAAGACAATCCCGTCACTAGGAAGATGGGGTGTAACTTGTAAAACAATCCACCCCACCGTGCGTCACTGCGACTGACGATAACGTAAAAGAACAGAAATTCTGAAAAGTCTCTTTGCTTTTACCCCACTGTCCATACGCCGACCGACGGAAGCCTGCGATTTGGGTATCACGTCCCGTCCAAGTCTCCAGACGGCAGACAGAAACTACCTCCATTATCTCCGCCGGATTCGCTTCAGAAATATGCAAAACACAAGCGCACGAAGCCATACCGAACCAATACAACACTGACTGACAATCAAAAACCGATCCCGTCATTTGATTCACAAACCCCAGATGTAATTTAGACAATCATCATGACAATACCATCATCAAAATAGTACAAAGGAACACAAATCCATCAAGATCCAAAATAAACATCAATCAAACTCCCATTCTTTTTTCCTTTTCACACAGTGATCCACTTCATCTTAAGCTACTTAATAATGTCGGACAGATGCAAGGTTTCGTATTAGATGCCTGGAGGATGGATATAAATAACAAAGAGAAGGAAAAAAGAAGGCGATTTAAAGACCCTGATCGATGAGATAATCCCCGAGCCTTTCCACTATAATGTTGCACTGCCCTGGAGACATTGGCTCGTCATAGATGCCGATGACCAATGCCAGACTGGTCTTCTTCACCGTCACTCCTCCAGCTCCCTGAAATTTTCAGCAAGGAAAAGCTTTAGCAGATGGATTAACATGAGATGAACTTTCAAATGTAAGATGCAATGTACAATCGCGCAGCAATGAACCTGCTTGATCGGAACGGACTACAATGCTATCAACCATCCAATAGAAAAAGGTAAGGTATGGTTCCAGAGAAGTAAAGAGTGTCAAGTAATTTCAAAAGTCAATGATCTCGAAATGGACTACCGGAAGTAAAACCCACAAAACCATTTGCCATTTTAGAAAAGACTCCTGCGAAACTAATGAAGGCGCAATACAGATGCTACAAAGAGTTGATCATCACCTTCTTCCCTCGAATGACCGCTCCAGGCTCGCCTTGAATCACCATGTACTTTGTGCCTCCAAGGTACAACCCAGTGGGTGCAAGGGTGCCAGGCTCATTGAAGTCATTCATGATACCAGTAATTTCCTCAGGCTTGAACTGAAACGGAACATCAAAAACAGATCAGCAAAACCCTTCGATCCAATAAAGCCACAAGTAGCAGAGCGTCCCTCCAAGTCAATGAAAAGAAAGCACAGAAATCACTAATAGTTTAAAGCAAAATCCCACAAGACCCGGTACAATCTAAACCCTCCCAAACCAAGAGAGATCCTCGAGCTCAATACCCAGATCGAGAAACATCAAGCTCAGGACACGAAAATATAAACTTGAAGAGAACCCAATTCAAATGAAGCGAAGGTCAAGCAGGATCCCCCGGCTTTCTCGTCTCACGCACACCCAATCAGTTGCAATCAGGAATCAGATCACGGGAGCAAGAACAGCAACACGACCCCAAATCCAACGAATCAAACTTGTGTGAATCAGAACCGAAGCAAAGGGAAGTAAAAGAAAACCTGAGGGAAGGTGGCGCTCTGGGCCCAGACGCTGCCGTCGTGGCCGATGATGGCTGCGGCGGAGAGGTGGTTGCCCTCGATTTCGCACATGAGGTGGTCATCGACGTAGGTCTGCCACGACATCTTGGCGGAGCTCTGCTTGGCGGAGAACTAGGAAGAAGGTTCTGGACCTGGGTTGAGAGCTGAAAAGGGGCGTGGTTTGGGGCGCTGAAGGTGGGCGTTTGGCCTTAAGAGGAAAGAGGGTAGCACGAGATTTAGAGAGAGAGAGGGAGAGAGAAAGGAGGGGTTGGTTTCTGTGTATTTTCTCTTATCTGTGAAGACAGCAGAGACTGGGCGCACATATTGCGTTGAATCGACGGGACCCTTTATATACTACTCTCGACCGAGTAATCTTTTTTAATTTGCGGTATTAGTAAGTCACATGAATTTCACGTCTTATCTTATAAATTAAAACTATTTTAGTTACGTAATTAATTTTTAAAATTGTAATTATTTATATTTTCACAATTTATTTTTTTAAGAATATATTTTTTGTATTTGAGATAGGCTTATGGAATCGTGACCAAGTAACGGGACAATAACTGTCGATTTCAGACTAACATTAAACACTCAATTAATAATTTTTAGTCTTCAACTTAAATGACCATACATTATAGAAACCTCCTATTTCCTCACATTAGAACAACCGACCATACCAAATCCTAAAAAAAAAAAAAAAAAAAATTCAGAGAAAGGAAACCACATTCACACCGCTATATGTACAGATGCAATATGCTCACAAGTCACAATCAACATTGATAATTATAAAGCAAGATAGATAGCCAAAGGCTACACTCAGACTCTTGACATGAAATACCTGACACTTTTTCTCTAGTTGTTAAGATGACGACAAGTCGACAACTGTTAGGATACTCCTATAACCAATAATCGGTTCCTAAAATAATTAGATGTAAACACATCATTCTTACATGATTACTTTAATGAAGAAGTGTATATGGTTAAATCTCTTGGTCTCAAAGTTAAACCTAGTGATGAAAACAAAGTATGCATACTAACAAAGTCCTTTTATAGCTCAAAACAGGTAAGTTGATAGTGGTTTGCAAAATTAACCTCTACACACATTAGTCATGGTTATGTGCTTTTTCAAAACTTATTACTCACTCTTCGCCAAGAAAATTGATACCCATTTTACATAAATTTTCGCGAACATGAATGACATCATCCTCACACGTATTCATTCAAAATTTCTTATGGTAAAAATCACTTGGATCAACATTCATCATAAAAGATATTAGTGAACTCAAATACTTTCGAGGAATTTAGTCAGAACTCCTCATGGCATTCATTTGTGTCGGGGGAAAAAGATGCATTTAATTTTGTCTATGAAACAGTGTTTACAGCTTCAAACCCAACTATTACACCATCTACACGAGGTACTCACTTGTCCATTGTCAAAGGAACCCCTCTATATCATATGGGATTTCTAGTTACATAAGTTATGAGGTAAATTTCAACACTTATGTAATGCATGACCAGATGTATGTTACACAATCAATCAACTACGTTGGTTTATAGATGCGCTCCAACTTTTGTACATGAATTAGCTACACAAAAGTTATTTAGAAACATTAAGACTTTTCCTGCTACAGGGATGTTTTTTCCCCAACAATCCAAGTCTTCAACTCACAACTTTCTCATATTTTGACTGAGCTGGATGTCCTGATACCTGAAGACCATTCACTCGCTTCTGTGTCTTTCTTGTAAATCCCCTCTTTAGTAAACGTTCCAAAAAGCAACAAATTGTCTCTAGGTATTATCTTGAAGCATAATGTAGGACTTTGGCTGATACTTTTGCAAGACTACAATGGTTTCATTCCCTATTTACAGAACTTCCAACACAACGTCCAATACAACACTAAATAACTAAGAAGCTCATCTGCTCGTAACAAACAAGCTTTTTAGGCGGATCAATTCAAAACTGAATTTATTTATCTCTCAACGCTCTTTCACTGATTGAGTTTTCATACCAGGTGCTCCCGTGTTACTTTTTCACAAACATTATTGGACACTTCCAACACATTTGATGTATTTGAAATCAATAGAGCTCTCATATTCACCTAGCTTATGTAATGGTAATCTCAGTTTTTTGGCTAGAAGGTATATAAACAAATTGACTACTAGAGAAACCAGTCTCATGTGTCTTTTTCAATTTTATGACATATATACCTAATGACATGACAGGATGTAAAATAAACAACATACACCTTTGTTAAAAAGACACAATTATTTCTTGCATCTCTCAATCATAATGGTACTGGACTATACTAATCATATTTCTCGCTTTTGGAAAAGTGCCTAATTAATAAAGGAAAAAGGAGAGGCTCGATTGTTTTCTGGATTTGTATTTCTCAACCAATCACATTCATGAATAAAGGCTGGCTGGCAAGCTAGAGTTGGCTACTGATGCCTTCCACGATATGTCGTGCCATCACCAGCTTGCAACCCCTTCGTATCCATGAATTTCTCTCCTTTATGACTTATCTCAATGGTAATGGAAGGAAATAGCAATATGCCACGACGATGACGATGATGATCAGACTCACAAAATATTTATAAAGACACTTGACTTTTGATCTTGCTACAAATGTATTTACAAAAGGTGTAAACCTTGCTATAGAATGAGGTATACAAATAGTATATTTTAAGTGTCATCATATTATCTCACTTCTTACTCAAAATTATACAACTCACTAAATATTCATAAATACGCGTGACTTTCGATTTTAGGTAGTGGGTAACTGGCAACTTATAAAGTTAACTAGAGCTAAGAAAATGTTGATCACTTCAGTGAGGACACTGACCTCATATTATTACAATGCAGACAAGTAAATTTAGGACAAAATGGTTGTGAATGAAGATACTCTGAAAAGCGAAACAATGTGGATCATTGTTTGAACTTTATTCTTTCTTAACGGTTCGAGTTCATTTTCTTTCTTTTATCTATACTAGCAAGGAAACCCGCGCTCCGCGGCGGGGAGTTCGTATTGGAAAAATGTGGAGTTTGCTTTGGCAATTGACATATTTGTGTCCCCATGAGTAGATTGAGTAGAGAACATCCGATTTAATAAAAAACATATGATTTGTACATGTAGAAACTTTGCACTGGAATTAAACATTAGGTACATAATATTATTTTGTATGCAAAGCGGGTGTTGCCATACTAAAACAGCAGTACATATTGGTTGCTGTCAAATTGATTAATTACTGTTTTGCATTGAATGTGATGTAAAAGAGTGCCATTTGGTGATGGTGGGGCAACTGAAAGTTATGTAAATGCTTGTTGGAAGTGGTGGAGATGTTGACATTGTCCCCTTAAAAATGCAGTATAAAA